AATATCATTTCTTGAAACAGGAAAGAGTAGTTTGAAGGAAAAGGATCAAGAGTTCAGAGAAGGGCAAACCTAATTAAAGGAATGAGATGATCAGATTGGAACTGTGGGAAGATTGCTGTTGTCCTAGGAATCAGGAGATCTGGTACGATAATCAAAACAGTTGTTGTTATTGTTGTTATGTGCCGTGGAGTCAGTTCCGACTCATAGTGACCCTGTACAAGGTTTCCAAGGCTGTAAATCTTTATGGGAGCAGAAAGCCTCATGTTTCTCCCGCGGAACAGCTGGTAGTTTCAAACTGCTGACCTTGTGGTTCACAGCCCGATTCATAATCACTACGCTACCAGAGCTCCTTTAGCACCTGTGTAAACTAAGGATGTCCACGAACCTATAAAGGTCTCAATTTCCTCCTCCTTAAAATGGAGAAGGAGACCAGGTGGCGCAGTGGTGGAAGCCCTTGGCAACAGTTTGAACCCACAGTCGTTCCATGGAAGAAAGATGGGTTTTCCTAAAAATAAAAGCCTTAGAAACCCTATGGGACCATTCTACTCTGTCCAATAGGGTCGCTACAAGTTGGAATTGATGCAGTGGGTTTGGTTTGGATTGGGTAAAATGGGGAGCTTTGGAGGAAGATTTTCTTGTAAATAGGTCCCAAACCACATTATATATTTTCAAGCAAAGGGTCATGGTGCAGGGCTATGAGTTGGTAAGAACAATACTGATTCAGTCAACAGACAATCCTATAATGTGTTCCACCAATTAATAGCTCTCTATTCTCTAGAAATCTAATGAACCTTTTAAATTCTCACCTGATTCAGTTAAAATAGAGATTCTTAATGGAATCAGGAATTTTAAAGACAGTGATGAATGCATACCCATTTCACTTTTGGGCTTTAATGCCTGGTGCTGTGTGACCTTGGACATGTCACTGAACCTCTCTGAGGTTAAGTTAAATAGGCTTTATTGGATACTTGTAAGGCAAGAAGGGACCCTCAGAGCCTTTTCATTGCCCCCTAGTGTGACAGGCAGTTGTTTGGGATTGTGTAGAGGTGGGAACTCTTCACCCTTGCTCCTCTATCTTTCAGTTATTTAAAGTCACACAGCCTTGCCTACAAAACAATAGATATTACTGTGGCTGCAGGCAGTCTATAATAAATACAACTATGTAGGGAGTTCTCTGGGAAAATGAGGTGGTAGGACCTAGTGACTCTATTAGACATCCGATGGGGACTCCTGGAGAAAGGGGAGTTCTTGGACCCATAAGAAGTTGGGATGGTCCAGTCTAAGGCAGCCCACTGACAAGCATCGCAAACATGTAGGATCATTTTCTAGACATTCCTTCGTGTCTTACGTCACACTCACTAAGTCTCAGGTGTCATTGGATTGGGAGTCATTGTAGTAATATAAAATGAGATAACTCGGAGGCAGCAGCAATGACAACAGCATGCTAACACAATTGGTTGAGGCAACAGAAAACAAGCTATCAACCATTATGCATAGATGACTAGAGTCCTGGTGTGATGCTGTCAGCTAATGCATCAGACTGCAAAGTCATTGGAACTGTAAAGTCAGTGGTTCAAACTCATCAGCTGCTCCTTGGAAACCTTATACAGAGTCACTATGGGTCGGAAACAACTCGACAGCACTTAACAACAACAACAACCTTCCTGAGGTTGGGTAGAGAAGGGAAGGGAGCAACACACTTCAGTTTTTCTGCCTGTTTATGTTACTAATGAGGAACCCTGGTGGTGCAGTGGGGTAAACATTGGACTGTGAGTTCTCTGATTCAAATCCACCAGTTACTCCTCAGGAGAACGATGAGGCTTTATGATCTTGGAAACCCAATATAGAGTCACTATGAGTCTGAATCAACCGGCTAGCAGTGGGTTTTCATTTTAGTTTCATAAGTTGTTAGTGAAAAAGAGGAAGACCCTCAGTCACATGGATTGACACAGTGACTGCAACAATGGACTGAAACACAGCAACAAGTATGAGAATGGTACAGGACCAAACAGTGCTTCGTTCTGTTGTGCATAAGGTCACTGTGACTTGGAACCAAGTTAATGATGCTTAACAACAATGTCACTAGTCCTTCTTATGTGATTCTCTAATACCATATACTCCAAGGAATTCTTTCTCCTGGCACCTACCTTTGCAGTCATGCTACTCTATGTTCCCAGAATGCTCTTCTTTCTCCATTTTCTGTCTTGTGAAATCCATTCTCTAAAGTCGAGTTGAAGCTCTCCTCTTCTGTAAAGCCTTCTCCATATTCCCCTCCTCCTCGCAGGATGGGTTCCTGCCTCCATACTCCAGGAGCATCGGATGACTTGCTATCAGAGCATAGACCACCTTGTATTACCGTTGGCTTTGCTTCATCTTTTAGGCCACGCCTCCTTTAGACCTGTGCTGTCTCTTATTTACCTTGAGTTCTAGTGATAGCACCAGACCTTGATTGCATGTTTATTCCTTTTTTAAAACTTAACTGTGTGCTCCCAAAAGTTTTTGTTCAAAGGGCACAATCATTTCAATGGCTCTTGATTTGGTGCATGATTCACAATTTGCATGGACAAAGCCATGCACTACCCTTTATTGTGATGCACGCCATAATCAAACAGCACCCTGGGGATCAAATCCCCTTTCCTTTCACCATTAGCCCAACTGAATGAAGCTCTTGGAAGTTTCTCTAGATGGAGAAAATAAACTCCAGAGGATGACCTTATCTCCTGCTCATCTTACTCTCAGCTTCCAACACAGACATCAGGATGAGTTGCCTAAAGTATCATGCCCAAGAAAAGATCCTAAAAGAAGTGGGAAAAAGCTTAGGCAAGGACATAATTGGATATATTAGAAAAGAAGAGGCAAAAATAAAGAACTTGCTGGACACTGGACTCCTTGAGAGGGCAAGGACAATGCCCTCATTTTTGTTTGTTTGTTTATGCATCCACCCTGAGCTCCACAAAGACACTGGATCTTTGTCTTCAGTGGGAACTCTGAGTCAGGGCTCCATCAAATTTGAAGAAAAGATGTAAATAAACATTCCTTCCATTGCTGCTCAAGGAGTCTTGGGAATTCTTACCCATCTTCCCAACCCATACAAAAATGGTCTCTCCATGTAATAGTAGCCAGAGGTTAACCAGTTGTTACAGAGAGTCATGAATAATAATGCCAAAAGGTATTTAGAAATTATTGAGCCTAGTACAGTATGCCCCAAATTTATTGTTTTTTTTTCCATATCTAAGTATCATCTATAATAGTATTGATTTTTCTTTTAATCAACTCACCCTTTTGGCTTAAGTACACACTTTGGATTCTTCCTAAGAAATTATAGCTGTGAAATCTTAGGCAAGGATATTAGATCTAATGCATTTAAATAGCTATTTAACATATTTGTTAATTCCTTACCTAAAATCCACCCATCTTAGTGTGAGAACACTTAAGAAACTTAGTCTAATCAAACCAGTTAATTAATAAGAAAAGTCAGGCATGAAAAAGTGAATTGCCTAAGATTCCCTGGAGTTGGAATAATTACACAGACCTTCTGACTCTGGACTCAGTGTTCTTCCAGTCATATGTTCATGCCTCCATTCTAGAAGAAACAGTCCTGAGTAGGTACTGAGGTTGCAGAGATGAGGAAGAATACAGAATCGAGTAACCACATAAAATACTCTTCATTAACAGTTGAAACATACTTACTAATAAATCTCTATGTACTACCAAAGAGTATTCAGGAGCAATGATGAGGGGACTCCAATCATCCTTGTCTCAGCCAGGCTGCCTTTACCCACAAAGTCACACTTACCAGGACTGGTTGCATCCAGATGTACTAGGTGCCACTTTATAGCTGTGAGATCTTGAACAATTTATTTAAACTTGATGAGCCTCAGTTTCTTCACCTATAAAATGGGGAGTTGACCATTCCTATCTTGACTAGTTATTTTGAAAATTACAAAAGAAAATGTATGTAAAAATCAAAGTACTATTTGATTTTTAACAAGGTGAGCCCTTGTTAATGTGGGTTTTACTCTTTTTTCCCTTGCTGGCTGGTCATATTCTGAGCCCACCAGAATATTATATTGTGATACTTCGCTAAAGGAATTAGGTTGAGGAACCTCTCAAAGATGGCAGAAATTTGGCATGGCTACTCCAATATGGTGGCTATTCCAATAATCTCACTCTTGGGTGTTCCAAATTTACAATCTGAACAGTTCTTAGGGAGGTTTAGAGGAATGAGACAGTATCCAGAAGCACCTAGAGATCTCCAGAAAGTTTTTAAGAGGAGAGGACACCTTAGCTGACATTTGTCAGAGAAGTAAGGACAAGAGTTGAACAAGAGGGCATGGAGCTGCAGAGCACTGAGGCATGGGAGAGGAAGGATATATTTAGGAAACAGCAAATAGTTAGTGAGATAGGAACATATTTGGGGGTTTGGAGAGTGAAAGGAACCCCGACATACAATGACGGGCCCTTGTAATTTTTGCTAAGAGAGAACATAATCTGAGGGACTGGAGAGCAGAGAAGTTTAGGAGTGACATGATCAGATGTGTGTTGTAAAATACTAGGTAGAAGTCACAGTGGGGAGTGTGAGATAGAGGTAGGCAGAGGTGTTCTGGAGCTGTACAATGCAAGCCCTGGAATAAGAGAACATAGAGCGCATACAGCTACAGAAAGAGGGTGGAAGGAGAAAGCTGGGTGGATTTGAGGAAACAGACTCTGCAGACTCCGTGATGGCTTCCTGTGGAGTTTAGGCAAAAGAAAGGGAGCAAAGATGAGACCAAGGTCTCTGGTTTGGGGGATGATGCAAATGGTGACCCCATTCACAGTAAGAGGAGCGGAAGTTTGGGGTTGGGAAATGTAAAGTTCAGCTTGGGATCTGTTGAATTTAAAGAGGCCTTGAGAGCTCCACCTGGAGACAGCTAAATAAGGAGACCTACCCAGATCCATGACTAGGGGAGTGAGGCTTAACAGGATTGATATGAGTAACGACCTGCATGCTCTGATTCCAGTATTTCGTCTTCACGGGTGTGTTGGCCATGGTGACCTGTGCAGTTTTCCTGCGACTTAACTCCGTCCTGAAGCTGGCTGTACTGCTGATTATGATTGCCATCTATGCCCTGCTGACTGAGACCATCTATGCAGGCCTCTTTCTGCGCTATGACGACCTGAACCACAGTGGAGAGTAAGTGCCACCATACTGTTTTCCATCATTGCCGGGTCAGTGGAACAAAGAGCCCAGTGGGGATATCACCAACACAGAGTTATTGGAACTTGAGAACTGGTTGGATATTGACTTAATGTTTCTCAACTCATACAATCTCTAGCTTACATGTCTAAGCAAAATATCTGCTTCTCAGCTTTTCATATATGTGAATTACAACTACTCCTCACTTATTGACAATCTTGTTGTATGACATTTATGATGACTTTGAAAAACATTCTCAAGCACCTTCTGCAATGACCCAGACCCCATGAAGAGCTGCAGTCAGGTTTGGGGCACCCTCCTTGGACCACCATGAGTGATATACCAGGGGCCCCAGCAGCAGTTATGCCACACATGACACGGTAGCACTCCAGCAATAGGATACCTTCTCCCACTAGTCCACAACATCTCAGTCCAACCACAGAGCATGTAGAGTGACAGCAGGAAAACAGGAGGTTGTGGGCAGGTAGAGGGAGGCTAGAAAATTGTCTGAAGGTACTAGAGAGGTGATGAATGGGAGAGGGGAAGGAATCATGCAAGGCTTTGAGACTATGGCAGACAAAAGATGAGAGACATCCCTGCCCACAGTAGAGAGACAGAGAAAGGAAGGATGCTTGGGGTCACTTTTCAGGGTGGTAGGGAAGGGGGGCCCACCAAACCACTAGGCACAGCCCCTTGTTGTTGTTGTTGTTGTTGTCAGATGTCATCAAGTCATTACTGACTCATAGTGAGCCTATGCACAACAGAGCAAAAATGCTGCCCAGTCCTGGGCCAACCTCACAATTGTTGCCACACTTGAGTCCATTCTTGCTGCCACTGGGCCAATCCATCTCACTGGGGGTCTTCCTCTTTTTCTCTGACCTTCCACTTTACCTAACATAATATCCTTCTCCAGTAGTTGGTTCCTCCTGACAATATGTACAAAGTATGAGAGATGAATTCTGGCCATCCTGGCTTTCAAGGAGCACTCTGGCTGTACTTCTTCCAACAAAAATCTATTTGTTCTTTTGGCAGCCCATGGTACTTTCAATATTCTCTTCCAATACCTTAACTCAATTCTTCTATGGTCTTCCTTATTCACTGTCCAACTTTTGCATACATATGAGGCTATTGAAAATACCATGGCTTGGGTCAGGTACACCTAAATCTCATATAATGTCAATTTTGCATAATGACCTAGTCTTTGGAGCCTAACCATGTCAGTAAGTGAGGAATGGGTATACAAGTTAATTACCTTATTTTCCACATATAATACATGCACGTAATAATATCCATGTGCATATATAGCATGGATAGGACATATGGATAGGACACTAATATGTAAAGGGATTGTGATAGGTGTTGTGGTGGCAATGTTAACCAACAACTAGTTGCATTCAGCATTTTTAAAAAGATAAAATATTTCAGCTATTGTTGAAGTTCCCTGTATAACCTTCCAATGTCCAATTACCCAGAAAGAAAGGTAAGCACAGGTTGAATTCTTAATGAAAGAACAGAGGTAGCACTTGATCTTTCTGTGAATCTAACAATAAGTTAGGCCTTTACTATTCTTCATGTGACATTTTCTACATGGCTCTGGGAAGACAGAGAGGGAAGAAGCACAGGGAATCAGGGGCCAATTACCCAATAAGCAAGGTAAACCTGGACTTATTTGTGCTTATTTACATAGATTTCACCACATCAAACCCTGTGAAATTTAGTCACTACAAATTAGATTCACAGAAAGATCAAGTACTGCCTCTGCCCTTTCATTCAGAATCCAGCTGCCCGCAGCCCATCCTACATGTCTACACACACAATAGATAAAGCTCTGAACTTGTGCCAAAGATGTGAGTTTGCATCCTGTCTCCCACACAAATTAGTTGTATGGCCTTGGGCAAGTGATTTCTTCTCTCTGTGGTTCAGTTACCCTACCTATAAAATGAAAGGCTGATAAAGAATACTCCATACTGTATGGTATACGTGATCCATTAAAACTCACGTAGCTGTTTATTTTATCCTTTCAAAAAGGCAGAGATATAAGTATAACTTCTTGTTGTTGTTAGGTGCCATCCAGTTGGTACCAACTCATAGCGACCCTATGCACAACAGAATGAAACCCTGCCTGGTCCTGCAGCCTCTGCACTATTGTTGTTATGGAATCAAGCATAACAACATATGCCATTCCATCTTGGTGGAGATAACAATGCCTCTATGCCATTCCATCTTGGTGGGGAGCTTCCTAGTTTTCACTTACCCTCCACTTTACCAAACATGATGTCCTTCTCCAGTCCCTGGTCCCTCCTGATAACATGTACGAAGTATGAGAGACAAAGTCTAGCTATCATGGCTTCTCAGGAAGATTCTGGTTGTACTTCTTCCAACACAGATTTGTTTGTTCTTCTGGCAATCCATGGCACCTTCAATATTCTTCTTCAAGCAATAAGTCAGTGTCCTGGTGTGGCACCCTAGGATAAGCACTTGATCTTAAGGTCAGTTTGAACCACAAGATTGGCAGTTTAAACTCACCAGTCACTCCTCAGAAAGAGTCAGAAGTTACTCAACAGCACTTACCACCACTAACAAGCTATTACTCAAATGCATCAATTCTTCTATTGTCTTCCTTATTCATTGTCCAACTTTCACATGCATATGATGCCACTGACGTAGTATGGCTTGGGTCAGATGCACCTTAGCCCTTACACTGATATTTCTGCTCTAGAACACTTTTAAAAGGTCTTGTGCAACAGATTTGCCTAATGCAATACATCGTTTGATGTCTTGACTGCTGCTTCCATGAATGTTGATGGATCAAAGCAAAATGAAATCTTGACAACTTCAATCTTTTCTCCATTTATCACGATGTTATTTATTGCTCCAGTTTTGATGATTTTTGTTTTCATTACGTTAAGATGCAATCCAAACTGTAAGCTATGGTCTTTGATCTTCATCAGTAAGTGTGTTAAGTCCTCTTCCCTTTCGGGGAGCAAGATTACATCATCTGCATATCACAGGTTGTTAATAAGTCTTCCTTTAAGTCCTCTTCCCTTTCGGGGAGCAAGATTACATCATCTGCATATCACAGGTTGTTAATAAGTCTTCCTCCAATCCTGATATCACATTCCTCTTCCTATAATCCACCTTCTAGAACTATTTGCTCAGCAATAAAGATTGAATAAATATGGTGAAAAGATACAACCCTGGCAAACACCTTTCTTGATATTAAACTATTCAGTATCCCCTTGTTTTATTTGAACGACTGCCTCTTAATCTATGTACAGATTCCTCATGAGCACAACTAAGTGTTCTGGAATACTCATTCTTCACTTGTTATTCATAACTTGTCATTATCCACATAGTCAAAGTACAAGTAAGCATCTTTCTGGTATTCTCTGCTTCCAGCCAAGATCCATCTGATGTCAGCAATGATAGTCCTAGTCCCACATCCTTTTCTGAATCCAGCTTGAATTTCTGGCAGTTCCCTGTTGGTATACAGTTGTAGCCATTTCTCAGTTATTTTAAGAAAAAAATTCCTTGTATGTGATATTAATGGTATTCTTCGATGATTTCCACATTCATTTGGGTCATCTGTCTTTGGAATGGGCACAAGTATGGATCTCTTCCAATCAGTTGGCCAGAGAACTGTCTTCCAAATTTCTTGGCATAGATGAGTGAGTACCTTCAGTGCTTCATCAAGTTGTTGAAAGATTTTAATTTGTATTCCATCAATTTCTGGAGCCTTGTTTTCCCCCAATTCCTTCAGTACAGCTTGGACTTTGTCTTTCAGTATTATCAGTTCTTGATCATATTTTGCCCATAGACTCCTTAGATACTGAAAGTTGAGGCTTTATTTTCTTCTTCAGTTCATTCATCTTGGGAAATGCTAAGCATATTCTTCCCTTTTAGTTTTCTAACTCCAAGTCTTGGCATATTTCATTATAGTATTTGACTTTATCTTCTCAAGCTGACCTATGAAATTTCCTACTCAGCTCTTTTACTTCTTTATTTTTTACATTCACTCTAGCATCTCTAGATTAAAGTTTCGAAGAGAGTTAAGTTTCAAAGTCTCTTGAGGCATCCATTTTGGTCTTTTCTTGTTTTTCTAGTTTTTTCATGACCTTTTGCTTTCTTCTTCATGATGTTCTTGATGTCATCCCACAGACCTTCTGGTCTTTGGTCATTAGTATCTTATGTATCAAATCTATTCTTGAGATAGTCTCTAAAGTCAGATGGGATATGCTCAAGGTCATATTTTGGCTTTCATAGACTTGTTTTAATATTCTTCAGCTTCAACCTAAACTTGTATACGAGCAATTAATGATCTGTTACACAGTCAGCCCATGGTCTTGTTTTGGTTGATAATATTGAACTTCCTACAGATGTAGTCAGTTTGATTTCTGTGTATGGCATCTGGTATAGCCACATTTTATGTTGTTTAAACAGGTATTTGCAACGAATAAGTCATAGGTCTTGCAACATTCTATCATGAGAGCTCCAACATCATTTTTATCACCAAGGCCATATTTTCCAGCTTCTGAGCCTTCCTCTTTGTTTCCAGCTTTGACATTCCAGTCACCAGTAATTATCAATACATCTTGATTAAATGTTTAAATAATTTCAGAGACTAAAGAAGTTGGTAGAATTCTTCAATTTCAGCATCATTGACTTTAGTGGTTGCTTTATAATTTTGAGTAATAGTGGTATTTAACTTGTCTTCCTTGTTGGCATATGGATATTATCCTATCACAGAGAGCATTGTACTTCAAGATAGATCTTGAAATGTTCTTTTAGATACTAAATGTGACACCATTTCTCTTCAGTTTGTCATTCTCAGCATAGTAAACCATATGTAAACCATAGTAAAACAATTCAAAATGTCCAATACCAACCCATTTCAACTCACTAATGCCTTGGAGATCATTCTTTATGCATTCCATTTCATTTTTGACAACTTCCAATTTTCCTAGATTCATAGTTTGTACATTATATGTTCTGATTATTAATGGCTGTTTACAGCTGTTTCTCCTCGTTTTGAGTTGTGCTCCATCAGCAAATGAAGGTCCTGTGGGCTTTGCTCCCTTTGTGTCATCACTGTTGATTCTACTTTAGGAGGCAGCTTCTAAAGTAAAAGTAGCTTTTGAGTGCCTTCCAACCTGAGGGACTCATCTTCCAGCACTCTGACAATATTTTGATGCACTTCATCTTCCCACACTAGATTTGGCAATCTTCAGCTTATATTCATTTGATTTTCAGTGGCTAAACACTCAGAAGTATTCCACCTCCCCTTCTTCCTAGTTTGTCCTAGTCTTGAAGCTCCACTGAAATCTGTCCACCATGGGCGTCCCTGCTGGAATTTAAAATGCTGGTGGCTTGGCTTCCAGTATCATAGCAACATGCAGACCACCACAGCTCTTAGTTAATATTGCTACTGCAACACCTGACCACCACCCTCAAACTGTTCAACCCCTTCACATGTTAGCATCCTATGCTATCTTTTTGCATATATATATTATTTATGTGGGTGTATACATGCAGAAATAAATGAATAAGGAAGACCATAGAAGAATTGATGCATTTGAGTTACGGTGTTGGAGGAGAATATTAAAAGTACCATGGACTGCCAAAAGAACAAACCGATCTGTGTTGGAAGAAGTACAGCCAGAGTGCTCATTGGAAGCCAGGATGGCCAGACTTCATCTTTCATACTTCAGACATATTGTTAGGAGGGACCAGTCACTGGAGAAGTTTATCATGTTTGGTAAAGTGGAGGGTCAGAGAAAAAGAGGAAAACCCCCAACAAGATGAAATGGTACAGTGGCAGAATCAATAGGCTCAACTGTAGCAATGATTGTGAGGTTGGCCCAGAACCAGGCAGTGTTTCATTCTGTTGTGCATAGGGTCGCTATGAGTCGGTACTGACTGAATGGCACCTAACACCACCAACAACATATGCAGAAAATAAGGTAATTAACTTGTACACCCACTCCTTTCTTATTTAAGTGATTGGAACTATTTTCACAATTTATCACTAAACACAAAAGTAAGTTACATAGTAGTGGGAACCAGAAAATCTTTCTAAACATGTTGGTATACCTTTGCATGGGAGAAAAAGGCATGGAATTTGGCATTTATTTGACTCCAAAATATTCACCGTTGTATTTTTCTGACTACTAAGCTGGAAGGTGATCCTCATTTTCTTTTTTTGTGAACTTCTTTTGCTATTTTCTAAATTTTCTACAATTATCATAAAAGTTTCTGTAGTGAATAACATTATAATTAAATGTTAAATTTTATGAAATTCCGGATAAGATGATCATGCTCTGAGGATCGTGGTAGCCATGAGAACTTTATTGTTCTCTGTGTTTTAACTTAACTATGTACTTTCTATTAGCAGACAGTCTAGGTCATAGACAGTTGGTAGCATTATTTCAGTGATTTGACTAATACAAATAAATCCATTCAAGCTGTCTTTATTTTTAAGTTCCTGCCACCCAATATCAAACAAAGCACTGTCCCTGCTTGGTGCAAATGGTTAATTCACTTGGCTGCTAACAAACAGGTTGGAGGTTTGAGTTCACCTAGAGGCATGTCAGAAGAGAGGTCAGGTGATCTACTTCCAAAAATCAACCATTTATAGGTTTGCCAGATGATATCTGTACATGGGTATTTACCTTTGCTGCAAATATAGCCATGAATGTGGTGAAGCGTACAGGGGGCAAAGTTATGAAAACTTCTTAGACATAACCAGCCATTTTGAGGTATTGCGTCATTGGGCCTAAAGGTTCAGGACCATAGTCTCAGTGGATAACATGGCAATTGACATTATATAGTCCACAAAGACAATGATCTGCATCATACTTTGTCCAGTAGTGACTAAAATCTTAGAAGCTCTTGAACAGCCATCTTGGGTACAACTATCGGTCTCTTCCTTATGGAGAAACGAAGAGTGACAAAATTTGAAGACACATGGATACAATCAGTCCATTGGACTAATGGACCACGTGAACATCAGTCATTATGACACTGAAACCAGAATTGGATGGTGTCTGACTACCAATACCAAGTGCTCTGATAGTCACATTAGATGGTCCTGGATTCAGTTGGAGAAAGTATGGAACAAAACTCAAAATCATAAAAAGTTCCAGGCTTCCTGGTTATACAGAGACTTATGGAACCCCAATATTATAGCCATTGGTTACCCTCCAAGTCTAGAACTAAACTTATTCCCACAGTTCAATTTTCAGCCAATCAATAGGTAAATCAATAAGAGAAACACCACCACCAGTGAGGAACACACACCAAAAAATGGTCAACCATTTGACATCAAAAGGGAAGCATTTACTTAAGGATTAAATCCAGAAGGGCTGGGAAGGAAGGAGGTATGGAACAAGAAACCAGAAGGAAGTGGGTTAAGTAATGTTACATCAAGGGGGTTGCAATCTGTGAGCAAAAAGTGTGGTGGTTTGTTGAATACAAAACTGATGATCTGCTCTGTAAACCTTCACCCAATTCACAATAAAAAGTTTTAAAGTCAGCCAATTAAAATCCGAGAAAGCACAGTGCAACTCATGGGGTTGCCATGAGTTGGAATCAGTTCAACAGCAACTGAATTATAATATTGCACAGATTTTAGCTACTTGGCTCTCTCCAAAAGTACTTCAAAACTTATAAAAGCTATAGAAAAAAAAGAACCCTGCTAAATTCAGGTCATAATTCTTTGTGGCTATTCCTCAGTCTGGCTGGTTTACAATGCATATTCTCCAGGCTCTCCTCAGACCATTTTTCCATCTAAAATCCATCCTAAAAAGTCAAAGACTGTTCATAAATTTCTCTCGCTTTTTCCTGAGTTTGCTCTAGTCATCTATCTATTTCTTTTTGGACAATCAACTCCGTTTAAATGATTCAAGGTGCACATCTTTTTTCTCTTGAATATGTGTTTCAAATGATGAATTGTTGGTTCTCTGTTTCATAAAGAAAGGGATATCATAAATGCCAGGCAGAGTAAGAATGCACACCACATTCACAAGCAGAAAAATGTAGGATTGTCCCATTCAAACTAAACTGTGTGAGCGAGTGGGTCGTGGTTTTAAAAGCATCACGCCAAGCCTTATGTCAAAACAACAGGCCAATTCCTTGGCCACGCACTTTTTTAAAAGAAAAGTTTACAGTTAACTCTCAAAATAGCTCTTTAGAGTGGGTTTGTTGGCCTTACTTTACATATGAGGAAACTGAAGCTGAGCGAGATTGTCTCTCCAACATGGACTCATTGCCAGGAACTGCTAGAGCCAGTTTTCAACAATCAGACTTCTTGGTCCTAAAGTCGGTGTGTCCACTCATACAATGACCAAATATTTCTAAATTGGAAAGGCCAGGTTCTAGTTCAGTATCTACTACTCACTAGACATAACCTTGAGAATGTGACCTTTCAGCACCTCCTTTTTCTCATGTGTAAAAGAGAGACATTAATATATCGACATGTGAAAATGGGGGTAAACATCAGAACTGATGTAAGAATTTAAGGAGTTAATATTTGTGAAAATACTTTGAATAGGGACTGCCATTTACCAAGCATGACATATGTCTCATAAATAGACTAACATCTAAAAAAAAAAAAAAAAAAGTGGTGATTTTGTCTTCATGTGTATTTTGGAAATGAGAACGCATAAAACAGTGCTCTGCAAATTGAAGGCATTATTGTTGTGAGTGCATTGGTTCTTTTACAGAGTTTGACCTGGATGACTTCATGTCCTTGGGGGTACAGTGATTGCCAATGGTTGCTGTTGTTAATTGTCCTGGGGTCCACTTTGTCTTATGGTGACTGTACACCTATCAAACCAAAACCAAAACCCATTCCCCATGGAGTCAAAATTGACTCAGAGAATCCTATAGGACAGAGGAGAACTGCTTCTTAGGATTTCCAAGACTGTTCATCATTAAGGGAACAAACAGTCTCATCTTTCTCCAGAAGAATGCTGCTAGGTTTGAACCACTGACCTGTGGTTAATAGTCCAATGCGTAACTCACTGCATCATGAGGGATCCTTGACTTTATGTATAACAGAACAAAATGGAGTCCAGGCCTGTGCCATATTCATAGTTGTTGGTGTGTGTGTTCTGATTTCCAAATTTGACTCAGAGCAACATTTCTGGTTTCCTTTTACTTATCCCATTCCTTTCAGAATCTCAGTTTCTTCACAGATCTCTTTGATGTTCACCCATGGTTGTTAGTAACTAGCCACCTTTTCCCCTTTCTTCTTCCAACAGAGATTTCCTAGGGACCAAGGAGGCATCTCTCCTACTGATGGCCATGTTCCTCCTTGCTGTGTTCTACCACGGACAGCAGGTAATCAGACAATGTATTCAAGCTGTCCTAGTGACCTGTCATTTCCTGTTGACTGGCTGCAAGACCTCCATTGTGCTCTCCGAGAAATATCTGCTGGATGCTTGAGGTTCTCAATGAATCAGTCCCTAATAAAGACCATTTCTGATGTGGTGTTGTAGGATAAGCACTGGACTAATCATTGCAAAGTTGACAGTTCAACATCACCCCCAGTCTCTCCTCAGAAACCCTATATAGGGTTGCTCTGGAGTAGCACTTACTTGAGGGCACTTAATAACAACAACAATGAAAAACTAAGCTGAAGATAATTTTGTAGACACTGTAATTTTAACACCCTTCAAATATACTTCTTTCAAAGAAAGCTTTCTCCAGAAAACAGAGTTTTCCATTTCTGCCTGAGGCAAACCAGAATCTCTCCCAATTGTGTTGCCTGAGTAAAATGACTCCTATCAATGTTATGTGCTGCCCTAGGTGAACATGAGGAGCCTTGGTGTGGTGCTGTAAGATAAGCACTCGATCTCAAGGTCAGTTTGAACCACTAGGATCAGCAGTTCAAACTCACCAGCGACTCCTCCAAAACCCTATACAGGGTTGCTATGAGTCAGAACCAACTTGACAACACTGACAATAACAACAAGGTAAACACGCAGGTTGGAGGACCATCTGAGACAGGAGTCTGAGCCCAGCTCTAATTCTCAGTAGTGTGCGGCCTTGGGCATGTTACTTCTCTCCCTGAGTCTCCATTTTTCTCTCTGTATATAATAATGGTTTGTTGTTGCTATTGTTAAGTACCTTTCATTGATTCAAACTCATAGTGACCTTGTATAGGGTTTCCAAGAAGCAGTTGGTGGGTTTGAACCACCAACCTTGTGCTTATCCTATAGTGCCACATCAGAACTTCCTAATAAAGGTGATTGTAGTTGTTAAGTGCCACTGAGTCAATTTCATCTCGTAGTAATCCTGTATAAAGTTTCCAAGGAGTGGCTGATGGGTTTGAACCACCAACCTTGTGGTTAGCAGTCCAGTGCTGATCCTATAAGGCCACATTGGACTGTCATGAGTATTGTTTTCAGATTACTACACTATACTGCTTTGCATGTATACCACAAGTGCTCCATTGTCAATTTGTACTAATTAAATCAAGTGCCTGCCAGATGGAGCCTGGTTCCCTTTGAACCTCATCTGTTTGCCATGACCCGGCCAGGGCATTCTGGGTTGTTGTTGTTGTTGTGTGCTGTCAAGTCAGTTTCAACTCATAACAATCCTGTAAAAGGTTTCTGAAGAGTGGCTGATGGGTTTGAGTTGCCCACCTTGTGATTAGCAGTCCGGTGTTTATACTAGAGCGCCACACAGGACTCTGGCATCATCCGTGGCATCCAGAGCTCCAGTATCCTAAGGGAGTTGTTATTGTTGATAACTTCCCCTGACTCAGGACAACCCCATGCACGTTGGAACAAAACACTGCTCCATCCTCCACCATTCCCACAGTCTAGGTTTTCAGGAGCCCTGGTAGCATTCATAAAATTTCATTGACTGTTTTCAATAATACAATGGGGTACATGATCTGTGTGGAATGAACTCATCCAAGGATTACAAGAGTACAAGGAACTAGTCCTGTGTGGGTACATGAAACCAGGCTTCACCCAGGAGGTGATGTCTGCTCTCAAAGAGCAGAAGGAATTCACCAGGACTTGAACATGAGTGTAGTCAACTTTACCATCTAAAAGCACTGTCAGTGCCTGCCAGCTTCACTGCTTTGGTCCCCAGTCCATCTATCTTTGCTCTATGTGCTCTCTGAGAGGGAGAAAAACAAAGAAAGACTGCCAGCCAGAACAGAAATAGAAACAAGTCACTAGGAAATTACCATGGAAACAGGGAGGTAATGAACCCTGGGAAGCCAGAGATGAAACAGTCCCAAACCCCAAAACCTATATGATGGTT